TACTGTGAATTATGATTGTACGCAATAAAAACGCCGAAGAGTTATTTTCGAAAGGCTCTTTTGAAAAATTCGGCCCCCGGGGCCCCCCGGTCCCTGGGTGACGTTGTCCATTAGGGACGGGGGTGGCCGAAAACCTTCCGAGTTTGGTTATTCGCGGTGCGTTGCAGACGTCGGTAGCGCACGGTATAAATTATCATTTCGCGCGGTACCAGTGACGCTGAATTATTTAATTTTACACGGCGAACGAACGCTCAAAAACGATATTTTAATATTTGTGACGCATCAAGTCGTAATAAACACAAAAATATGCAAATTGCCCGCGTTCGCTTTTTACCTGTGTATATTTTGCTACGCGAATTTTAATTTTATGCAGGTATCGAGTTTTATTCGATGGAGTGGGTGGGGGATGGGGGAAAAAACAAACATCCGCTCACCGAGTTGAGTTATGAATTACTTTAAGCATAAATAATTTAGAAACTCCGATATTATCGCATTAAGTATTTGCATCTATTTGGATTACGTTTTATTTGAGTTCTTTCGAAAATTCTATATTTTATGGCGGTTTTTTTTTTGACCCGGTTCGTACGAGAAATGCTAGTTGTTTGAATAATTCGCTGATAAAAACCAAAAGGCAGGCCATCATTTTTCGGAATGTTATTATCCGGAATCTAAATTTACGGAACTCAAAAATCCGCAACGGAATATTCCGGACATAGACATTTTTCCAGAACGTAAGAACTGGGGACGTAAAAACGCGGAACGTATTATTCCGGAACATAGAATTTCGGAATTAAGTTAAAAACCAATGGTTCCTAAATCTTTCGAATCAAGAACTTCGTTTCTTGTCACCCGGGAAGAAATAATAGCTTTGATACCCTATTTTTATTATACTGGTGTACGTTTTTTAGAAATAATTGATATTTTCCGGATAATTACGTTCCAAGAAATTGCAGTCCTGTTTATTACGTTCAGGATAATTTAAGTCCGGATAATTGAATTCCAGATTATTGCGTTCCGGAATTTAACGAATATCTCGATCTAAATTCGAAGGGTTTTTTATTGCAGCTTTATCACGAAATCAATAAATTTAAACCTATTGACACGCGTCATTCAACAGAACTTTTCGTTCGGAATCGTTTTTCGTTCACAATCGTTTTATTATGACGTATAATATTACTATAGAATACGCCTCGCTATATGAAGTTTTATCTGGCGATGGTATTGCCAATACTACAGAAAATAAAAGAGCTTTCTACGGGGACCGCAATCATTTTTTTTTAAATTTCAGGTGCAGGGTCGAGGAACGTTATTAGTTTTACTATGATGTACGCTATTTTTTTTCACAATGTATTTGCTTATTTTTAATCTGTCCGGGAGCAACTTTTCTACCGGAAATTTTGGTTTTACAATCAAACAATTACAAAAGACATCTTTTGTTGTATTTTTGAAAGTAGGTGTTATGCGGATACAACCGTTTGGCCGAATAAAAATGATTGGAAAATTAATTCAAATAAAATTCGAATTTGAAAAAATAAATTCAAAATGTCGAGCGCAATATATAAGAGATTTTTTTTTTTTTTAAAGCGTTCAAACATTTCAAAACACGTATGACCGAACTTCGGTCGAAATCGTTTTCCGTTAGCAAAGATCCATCACAGATATAATGTTCAAACAAACTTTACGTATCGTATGTTTAAAACTTTTCACCCGCAACAGTGGCACGCCCGTTCCCGTAATCGGCTAGTTTTTTCTTTAGTTTTTTGCTTGTTGTCGGATGTGTCAATAAATATAGGTAACTAATAAATAAATAACTAATATTTATTTAAAACTTTTTTTTTCTGATTTTCCTTGAAGTTTGTTTACTGTGTTAGCGTATTTTATACACTAATGTAGCGGGAGGGAGTGGAGGTACGTCATTTGTGTGTCGCGGTGTTTGAATGGTGTTCCACCTCTCCCTTTACCCTCCCTGCAGTGCCCGAACTTCAAGAGAAATATCTCGTCAACGGGTTGACGCAAATTGTATACCTCGATACGAAAACATATTTGCGCTAAAACTTGATTTATTTTATAGAGTTTTTAATACAGGTGTATTTGAAAATTAAAAGTGATGGGTATTATAACAGTGGTTTCAGATCTGTCGAAAATATAAGAGCGACAAAAAATAACGTTTCAGAGGTGCTCGTTTGCTTAATTTTTTAAAAGAAAAAAAAAACGAATTACGAAAAAAGCGAATATACTTTCCGAGATAACGTGTCTCTTATCGAGAATCGATCGCGTAGTATATATTATTGTATTGGATAATTTATTTTTTTTTTCACGTTTTCGCGTCCGACAATAAGCCAAAAATGTATACGTTTTCATAAACACGCCGGAAAATCTGTCAGTCCAGAGCCTTAAAAACAAAAGTAAAATGTGAAGGGAAATGCCAATAGGGAAACGCTGGAATTCGGACTATCGCGTTTCGGTACAGCAGGAAGAGGGGGAGGGACGGAAAATTCGGATGCAGCCGTGTGAAATGTGTCGACTTTTTTTTAACGGGAATTGTTTTCGTTTCCGGGTCGCACGCGTTCAACCTATGGAAAACAAAATAATTATGGCCCGCGGTGAAAACGGAAACACGCGGAAAATAGTGAAAAAGCGAAAAAAAAAAACGTTTGCCGGTAAAAGAAAACAACGGGTTATGTATTGGTAATGCCATTATGAGAAAAAATAACAATAAAACAAAAAAATACAAATAAAAGTATGAAAAAAAACCGCAGCGAGCTTCGTGATGTTTTTTTGCCGCGGCACAGAGAAACATTGAATCATGTTATTGTTCTGTATATCTTTACGAGCCGTGCGATAGCGATGCTAATTGCCATAATTATAGCACCGTAAAGGAGAGGAACATTGAAAAAGAGGCGGTCGGAACGATGCGAGGACAGCCGGTCTATATGCGAGTTGAGAAACCGAGTCAAGTGAGAGTTTAAAACGAGGATGATGGCCGATCCAAAATAGTCGGGAAGAAGGCGGAGGAAAAGATGAAGGAGAAGGTGATAAACTGTAGTGATGCGCCGTACGTGGAAATAGTAGACCGGGGGAGGGAGGTGATAGAGGGGGTAATAGGGTGATGGAGGGGATAATAGGGTGATGGAGGTGACGGTAGTATTGGGAAGGTGATCGTGATCAAAGCGAGGTGATTCCGGTTTTACACAATCCCCTCCCATTTTTTTCCTTGACCATATTTATGATACAAATTATAATTTGTACAGTGACCCGACAAACTTCTACAATATCTGCTGGACTGAAAAGGCTGCAGCCCGACTGGGGCGCCGTTCAACGGCTAGGAGTTAAATAGATTTTTTTTCAAACTGGTAACTGGTATGCGCCGTCACCATCTAACGGGGGGGTATGCGAGAATTTATGGGGAGAGGACTGATGCATTGTGGTGATGATTGAAAAATGTGCCGAATCAACCCCAGCCTGCCGGCGGAAAATCCGACAATCGGGCCTGGTTATTAGGTGTGTAATATTGTATGCTGCACGGCACATCCGCGCAATAAAGTCGCCGAGCAACGTCTGAATACAATACGTGAAAATAACCCCCCTCCCCGAATAAAACCCCTTCACGTCCCCCGGGGATGTGAAGGGGCGGGGGCGCCGTGACGGGAAAATCGGCTCGGGAAGAGAAAAATGTTCCGTACAGCGTCCGTGCGCGAAAACGCGTATCCGAAACGTGCGAATCCTCCACCGCGCGTCCGTGCGTGCCCGGTCGCCGCGCCGCGTACGAGTGTCGTACGGCCCCCGCGGCCCCGGCCCCGCCCGGGGTTCCGTCGTCTCGTCGTCTTCTCGCCGCAATAGCCGTGCGGGACGCGCGCTTCGACGTTGCCGCGCGTGTGACGCGCTGATGCGCTTCGGGCTCACCGCACGGCGGCGTGTGTGCGCCAACCCCTACGGTCGCGCGCGTACGCGACGTTGTGTCGCTCGGGAGCGGGCCGCGGCGCAACGTGATTGTAACGATAATGCGACGGCCGGGCTCCCGCGGAAACTCCGGAGTCGAAGCGCCGCGGCGCCCTCGAAAAACCCGTCTGACCGCGAGCGTCGTAACTGCGATAACGCCGTAATAACCAATGCGTGGTGTGGTGTTGACATTAGCGTCCCGGCTACAGTAGGTACCCGCGGCGGTTCCGTGTCCATGCGATAATTATTACACCGATATCGCCACCCGAAAGGTTCGGAACGCCGAAATTCGTCGAAATAATCGTTGTGAAAAACGTATAAATATTTATTTGAAAACGCTCGGTTTTGAGGGCTCGCCAATAAGTGACGGTGGGAAAAACGATAGTAAATTCAAAACGACAGTAAAAAGAGCGATCTCCGAAACAAATGGTACCAAAAGTCCACTGCCGAAAAAACCTAACCCGACAACAAGTGTTGATAACGAAAAAACAAAGAAATAAAATACAAAGGCGGAATTATATTTTATTTTTTTTTTCTACTTTAGGGTTTGTCGAGCGCACAGCGAAAGAAATCGTTAAACGAAAAAAAATCCGGGTCGCAAAGTGAAAAAAATGCAAAACAAAAAGTAGACAGTGTAGAGCGAAAACCAAATAAGGAAGAATTTTTTGTTTTAAAAAAACAATCGAAATGGCGCCCATTTAAAATTTCATTTTTAAAATCGTCCCGGTATCACAAAAATATTTATGTTTCACGATGGCCACCGTGTTTCCGTGTTTCTATATAGATTTTTTAAATGTAGTCAAAATAAATAGGAGAAAAAAAAGAGCTCGTCCCGAGCCCGGGACACGAAAGTTTTTGCATTTTCGATTCGCAAAGTTGTTTTCGGTAAGTAACTTTATTGCCGAAACTCCGTACTTCACTATAACGTCAGGATACTGTTTCTTATTGCATGCTTGTATAAAAAAAATTTTTTTTTATTTTCCCGAGATCTGATATGTTCACGGAATATATGCTCGCATTTTTTTTTTTTTTTTCGTTTTGTTTTTTGCTTAGCATATTTTTCAATTTCGTTTTATGCGCCGACGGCCGCATTTATTTCGGCGTTTTTGTTTTTCGCGCGCGTGCAATATCAAAGGTTCGGTTTTTTTCTCGTTCCGAGCTCCGCGAATTCCGAGCCCCGCGCGGACGGACGGACGACGATGATTCAGCGTCCGTCCGTCGGCGTCGGGCGCGTTAACGCGACGCGAGTCTGTTGCGCGCTCGGGCACTGGGCTCCGTCGCCGCGCCGCCGGTCGCCGACGGACGGTGCCGCGGCGCGCGGGCGCGGGCGAGCGCGGCGAAAACGTCGCGGCGGCGGCGGCGGTGGCAGCGGTGGCGGCGGTGGCGGGTGATGGGCGGCGGGGACGGTCCGGCGGTGCGGGGCGCAGGGACCGTACGCCGCGTTCGGCGACGGGCGCGACGGACGGGCCCCCGTGGCCGGCGGGACGGGCGAGTGGGCGAGCGCGATAGGCGGACGGGCGCACGCGCAAGTGCGGATCGCGCATGACGCCGCCGGCACCGCAACGCAGGGCCCGGCGACGCAGCGCGCACACGACCGGCGTTCGTGCACACACGTATTCACACGGCGCCAGTGTTGTACGCACCGCTACTGCCGCGAGCGCCGTTACCGCGGTACGCAACACAGTCGTCGTCGCGGACGTACCCCCGGAACACGGTTCACGGTATCCGAACATTCATACGGTACCGCGGTTGTAACGATAACTCATTGCCGCGACCGTGTGCCTATTGTAATTATTTTCGCGGCAAAAAAAAAAAAAAATTATCGCGTAACTCGCGGAATCGGTTCGCGTATCAAGGGGAATTCTCCCCGTCGTATTCAACCACCGCCGCCACCGTCACCGCCGCGGCCGTCGGTTTCGGGTGTTCGGCGCACGTCGCCCGTTAGTTTTTTTTTTTTTTTTTTTTTTTTTCTCTTGGAATTTTCTCAGATTTTCCCGTACACAGTACTGGACGCAGGTGAACGAAACAACACAGTGCCGTCGTCGTCGCGAGTGTTTGTTTGTTTGTCGCATTCGTCGACCCCGACGTTATTGTAATATCAAATCCGTTCTCGCGTCGTTTGGCGCGTTTCCGGACAGCGGCGGCGGCGGCTCCGACGACGACGACGACGACGGACTCTTCGCGAACCGGTGAGTATCCGAATACGTACACACACGCGCACACACGCGCACACACGTGCACATACACACACACACACACACACACACACACGCGCGCACGCACACACTCGTATTATTACAACGCGGTGTATTGTTCGTACTTACGTAACGCAATTACGCTCGTACCGTCGGCGGCGGTCGCGCCGCGCGTGATATTCGCGACAAGCAATTTTGACAAGACGTCGAAACGCGCGAGCGCGCGCGCGCGCCCGTAATACCCGCCGTCGCCCCGCGATAAATACACGACGATATTGGCCGTGTATTACTATTGTTACTATCGTCGTACGCGGTTCCGACAGTATTGTTCGTTCCCCTTTCGGAAATACGAATTCGAGCGCGCGCGCCCCCCCCCGGTCCCGGGACGGAACTTCGCGCGTCGTCCGGCGTGCTGCAACATCGTTACCGTTGCAATAGCGCCCGCGCGTAAACCGACGACGGCGACGTGTTCGTGAGCATCGACCGAAAACATTTCCCCGTGGCCCCGGGCGGAACGTGGCGGCGGCGTGCGCGGCCGAGAAGCCCCTGCGATGTGCCGGGTCCGCGCGCGCCGGCAACGCCGCTCGGCAACCGCGAAAAATACTGTCGGCAAAAATACACCGCACCCGACTAACGGCAGTGACAATCATTTACAACGATAACAGCGAAAATTATGTACGCGGCACGAGCGCGTACTCGCAATGTCGCCCGTTTCGCGTGCGTCGCGGGACCCCCGGGTTAGCCACCCGATAACGACAATTCGCGGTAACACGCAACGGGTATCCGCGGGTCAACAATGCGGCGCGGCCCGGCGCCGTGGCGAAGACCCGTCGGAACGCGGCCGCCGGTTCGCGGAAACCCGTGCGCCGCGAGAGTTCTTCGCCGCGAACGACCGAACGCCGTCCGCGTCCCTTTCTGAAAATCGTACGCGTTCCCGTGATACGGGTGGTTTCCGTTGTTCCTACAACGCCCGAACCGATTTCGTTCCCGACGTACTGACACGTTCTCAGTTCGCGGAGCACCGACTTCGGAAACGCGGTGTGCGCACGTACGACCGCGATGTCGACGGTAAATCGAAAAAAAAAAAAAAACCGAAGAAAAAACACGCCCGGAGATTTCGCGGGCCCTCGTAAATATCTGTCCCTCTCGTTTCTCGGTGTCAACAGTAACGCTTTCCGCCGTCTTCGTTCCTATAAAAACGGAACGCGTTTCATTCCGACGTTTCGCGAGAGTGTAATCAATTGTTTAAAAAACCATGTTCTCGAAAAAAAAAAAAAACTATCAAACCCCCCCATCGAGTGTTCACAGTTCTTCAAAGACGTTTAAAATGAAATATTTACAAACCTAATATGATTAAAAAAACAGTAACTCCAACTCGTTCAATAGATACCACCGCAATAATTTACAGCGCTGAAAGTCCGCGAAACCGGTGGCTTAACCAACGCGTTTTGAAGTTGCCGAAATTTAATATTAAAATTCCAGTTCAATCAAATTTCCGTTAACACGTTTGCTATTTGAGTTCCTACGACTGCGGATTACATCCCAGTATACCGTTTTTACCGGGCGAAAGTTATCCTCGGGGATTCGACAGCGAGTGGCGTGATCTGCGCCGGAATTCCATAAACCGAATGGGCTGTGCGTGTAAATATTGTAATAATAATTAAAATAACCACGAAAACGGGAATTTTCGAAAGCGACGGATCCGAAAAAGCCGATTTTGTTTTCATTTATTCGATAAACCGAGCTTTTCTCCACTCGTTACTAGGCTGAAATATCCAAGGAAAAGTTTCAAAATCAAATCACGGAAAATGTTTATACTATGTTACTATGAATATGTTTATAAAATACTATACGGGAATAGTATTTATCGGCATGGTTATTGAATCCAGTGATAACTACGATTTATTCAGTTTGTCGGTAAAAATATCGATTAAAAAAAAAAAAATAAAAAATCCTGGCAATGCCGGAAAAAGTACGGTGTCGTTTATTTTCGTGTTCAATATTTTTCCGCAATTATTTTGTTTTCCTCAGAAACGTTTATCGAAAAACTATCACCCGTCAACGGATGAACGTTATCAAACACTGTTTTATTATAAACATTTAATTCCGGCGAAATATCTCCCAGAAAAATACAGCGCCTTAATTTCCCTGCAGGATTTCGAGTAAAATTGATTTGTTCTTCAGTCGTTAAATAGTAAAGAAATACGACCTTAGAATATTGCAATATTCTCACAATTATATTGTACCCTTGTTTTTTACACTGTAAACACTCATCGACTTTTTATTTTTTAAATATCAATAGAACTTCCCTTTCCAAACCAGATTTAAAAAGAGAATATTATTTTACGCATTTTGATATATGCAAATACCAGCATAACAGTAATATTTGCTTTGCCATATATGAGTTCTAAAAGTTGGAAGTTTAAGCCGTAGCCGCGAATAGGGAAGCATTATAATTTAAAACATTGATGTAAAAAATATATTGGGTATACTATAATAGGTCTTTATTTTTGAACTTCAATAATTTTGTGTCGTGGACTCGGAATTTTGTTTAAAATGGTAAAAATTGTTAAAAAATGGTTAAAATTTGATAGAAATAATTTTTGTAAATTTTCGGTATGATAAGTCAATTTCTTCACGTGTCTCGAAGGGGTTAAAGTTTGCAAAAAAAGGGGTTGTTTTTTCGTTTTTCACGTTTGTTTTTTTAACTTTTAACTCACAAAAATGTATCGGAAACTTGTAGAAAGATTTCCCACATAATAGTTCTCTTTAACATTTCAGTGAAACTTATACTGTTGCATATAAAATTTGATTTAAAAGTTTGTAGATTTGTAAAAAGTTAAATTCAAGGTTGTGTAAAATTTCAAATCTATCAACTTTTAAATCGATTTTTTACATACAACAGTACAAGTTTCACTGAAATATTAAAGAGCTGCTATTATTATGTAGGAAATTTTGTTTATTACAATAGGTAATGAAGTATCTGATAATTTTTTGTACGTTCAAATTCAAAACAAATTAACGTAAAAACAATAGCCTCTTTTCAACAAATTTCAATACATTTAAGGCACGTAAAGGGGTTGACTTATCATGCGCAAAATCTACAATGTTTACAATGTACTAAACAAAATTCCGAGCCCTCGAGTTAAAATATTTGACATTCATTTTTAACACCTAAAGCTAAGGACCATCCAAAGGTATACCCTACCGGTCTTAATTGTCAATTGTTATATGGCACAAAGATTGTGTAGCCGATAAAATATTTTGCGGTTTGCATATTTTAAACATTTTTCGAATGTGTGTTGAAAAGTGTAAGATTAGGTTAGGTTAAGTTTTTGCCATTTAAAATTCAAAAGTTAATACTCATTCATGACATTCAAGGAGTAGAAAAAACATTTAAAAAAATACAGTTTGGAAATGAATTAATACAAAGTTCTAAAATGATTTTAAAAAAAAAAAAAAAATTGAAATACTAGAAATTAAGTCTTTCAAGGAAATCGATGGTTCGTGATAAAAAAAAATCAGGATAATTATAATTATCATTATCAGATAGATCACCAAGTATAGCATTTTTTCTAAGCATACATTTTTTAATTTTTTTTTTTTTTGTTATTGTAATTCGGTTAATCATAATAGATCGAGGAGATTTGATATTTTCACAAAATAATTAAATTAGTTTCTTATAAACGCCGTAAAATTTTCAAAAACATCCTAATGAATTTTGAGCTTTATAAGTGTATAGGAGTTTTCGAATTTTTTAGACGTTGCTTGAAAATTTAACATATAAGTTGCATTTAGAGTTGAAAACAACAAGTCAAGTGTTACGTACGCATCATTTAAAGTTTTAATTTTGATTAAAATAGTCAAATTTGCGGTTTTTCAAAACATAATGTCTAAGCGATTTTCGGTTAGAATCGTTTTTCGTTGCTTAGAAAGATAAATAATTAAATTATCCCATATATTCTACCTTATCAATTTCCCAGCTTTTGTTATAATTATCGGTCAAAACGGGCATTATTTTCGGTTTTCTGCGGTTTATAATCGCCATAGATGTTGCAGGTTACTGATAATAATTTTAATTAACATTAGCGTACATCGGGGTTAACTGCCCCTCCCCTAAACCATAATGTCAAATTTTCGAATATTAGGCCAGACCAAAACCAACATTTAAGTGATTGCATTAAAGTGGTTGACGCTAACTCCGTCGTTCGGGATTTCGGGTCGATTCGATACCGCAACAATATTGTAATGGCGACCTTTTACATAATGTATTCTACGATATTATACATAGTTTCTCTGCCATTAACCGGCAGGTTTTCTTGCCGAAAATATAAATACTGCAATATCTGGATTTATAATTTGTAAGATGAACTTTATGACCTTTGTGTAACCTCCGTGTTTTTTCGTTATTAGTCATATGACTAATACACTATACACTTGAAATTTCCACAGAATTTTTTGACGTACATTTTCAAAACACTGGTTATTTTTTTTGGTATTCATTGGGATTTGAAATTGTCGAGTTTTTGTTTGTCTGG